GATACAAATTTAAGATTCAGATGATGCAGAAGTAATATACGAAGGGTAGCCTATAAATTGCTTTACCATTTCAAAATTTTTATTTCCAACTTTAGAAAATTCTCAGAGAAAGATTGTTCCAGCTTGTTTGACCATTTGTCGCAGCTTTTGAAGTTCACCGTGCCCCTGTGTCCTGACGTGCTCTATATTCGTTCGTGTACGAAGGGTTGCTCGACTACGGGGATATTTTCAAACGTTAATTACCGGAAAACGAAGACTCAATTGCAATTTTTTTATTCTTCATTTTCGTTTCGTTTCGGCTTCTAGAATCATCTCCTAAATTTTCTCCAAGGAACGATGGAAATATTCTTTATATTAGTGTCGATACTCCTTTGAAGCAGCCTGTAGATTCGCGCGCTTTGTCGAGCCGACCAGCCCTATTGGGAATGCCAATGTCGAGGCTCGGTTTCGCCGACCGCGAGACACTTGCCGGCGTTTGCTCCTGTTTTAGTTACGACATGATCGCCTTTAACGCGATTGTTGATACCGTTCAACCAGTCCGGTCTGTTTTTTCCTCCGCTGCGAAACAACATTCTACGCGTGCCTCGATCGTCGCGATGAAATTCATCAAACCGGGATGAATACTCACGCACACGCATACACACTTTTCTTGAAACTAATTGTAAGCAAATGTTTAACTCGAATTGGGATCAAATTTATGGAAGTGCGATATTTATGTAAATTGATGGATGTTTTAACGAAGTAATTCCTTAGTTTTCGTGAATTCCAGCAAGGAGTAAACTATCGCTGGCTAGAATGAAAGTGATAGTCGGTGATTTTTACACGAAAGCAAACTGGTTTCTGGAGCATTTCAACTATTTTACCTGGAGGACGTCTTTGTGAGCGCCTCTGACGAGGCCGATTACCTACGATAATTGTGCTCTTACGATAACGCTCGCCTTATGCAACGTTCGTTTACAAGCTTTTATTGCTAGTACCACTAAATTGCTGTTTTAAACGTTAATCAATCCGAGGGAGATAACAAGTCGGTAATGTTTCACCTGTTCCTATCAACCGTGCAATTTTCTCCTCTGATCGCCAGGACTGAATTAATCGCTATCCTAAGCATCTGCGAATTTCACAGAAAGGAAAAGGAATTTTCTTAATGGAATTCGAGAGTCGGCATATTTATTGCTGATTAAGTGCATCTGATGATAGAATCAAGGGAAACGTGCGTTTCATAAATACTCATCGAAGCGCGATACTTAAAAAATATATAAACTACATAAAAATTATTTTTTCCAAAATATTTCTACGGTAATTCAAAACGAAGACGACGAAATTACAGCGTAAATCTTCCATTTCTTCCGAGCGATTTCTTTAAATTCGAGAATTCTCGGCCAGAGAAGGAAAAATTGGCAATTACAGTAACGAGCGTTGCGTGATTCCAACGTGGAATTTCTTCGAGCTAACGTCGTCCGATTGTCAGCAGCGTTCTCTCTCTCCGCTTGATTTTGTTCTGGAAATCAGGGAAAGCGCGGCTAGACATCTAAAAAATTCTGTCCACCGATTTATGCAACGACCTTCGAGGAAAGTAAATTGATGTACCGAGGCGACGCTGGCTCGTGTGTGTGCATCGTGCTCGCTAAAGAATGAAAAGTGAAATGGAAAACGTCGCTCTTTGCCGGAGCGTGTTCACAGAGCGTAGATGATATCTCCCGTGACGCATCGGAATACCTGTTTCGATATCGCACGGGGAGAGGAGGATGGCCACTCGAGAATGATATATCCTACAGAGACGAACAGCTGGAAAAGTTTCCACCGATTTAACAAGAAGAAGGTTTAGAAACTGCAGAAACATTTTTCCTTCTTCGACGATCCTATTTCGCAGTAATGCTGATTTATCGCTAATCTGAGATTCTACTACCGGAGTGGAATCAGAGGAAACGTGCGTTTCGCAGATAATCAACGAAGCGCGGGATATTTTGTTTAAAAGGATATTTTGCAAAAAATAGTTCCACCGTAATTCGAAAGTATAATGAGAATTTCAATCTGAGAATTTGAAAATTTTAATTAAATTAAAAATTTTCTAAATTTAAAAATTTTAATTTAAATTCAAAATTTTATAAATTTTAAATTTCTAAATTTCCTCAGCTAATACTTAGAAAACAATAATTTATTTATCGATGGAACTATTAAACGTAAAATATATGCTATTCGCGTTAATATTCAAGAATAGAGAATTCCAATTTTTACTGATTTTTAATTGCAAATTATGGAGATTCAATTTTTGTTTAACCCTTTCGTTACTATAGGCGCTTCGAAAATTTACTCACGCTGTACAGTTCGCGCCCTTTTGGCGCGCTTCTAGTCTAATTTAATCCTTAATTCTATATTTCAAGTATTTCCACCTTAATTTAACGAAACGAACTTCAAAACGATCCGGCGAAAATAAGCAATACCGTCAGTCGCTCACGTCACGCGTTAAGAGCTGCCGCAGCGAAAGGGTTAAGAAGCGAACTCAGTTACCGGATTAATAAATATTTCCGAACGAAAGAATACCGCCGATATCGAAGAGTGTAGGCATAAGAGAGCGAAGTGAAACGTCTTAGAAAATAAAGGAAACAATGAGCAGGCGGATTAAGAAATTCATTGCGTTCGAATGTGGCTCATGAGAACCAGTTTTTGCCATCAAATGCCTTCTCGCTTTCAATTAGAATACACACCGATTCATGTAATTTTTTACGTTCTTTCACTCATTGTTGAGGATCGATACCGTAGAAGTAGGTTGAACGTGCGCGTGGAATTGTGAACTATCCTCCGAAAGTATCCATTATTGTTTCGTAATATTGTTGTACACATTTCTAACACGCTATACTTTCTTATTTCACGTCCTTCCTTCCTAACCTAACTTTTTCTTATAAGAAAAAATGAACCGAGTATTCAAAATCCTTCGATGTTCATCGTTTCCCCGTCGGTTACGTAAAATAGCATCGCGCCAGGACTGTAAAGTTATTCAAGATCAATTTTCACCTGGACAAACAGAAGAGACCTTTCACCGTCGATCGCGAATTATCAAGCATCAATTTCTAGAAATCTCATTGACTCTCGTTCCTTGCCACGCGATCATTTCTTTAAACACACGTCAATTTATACGAATGCGCTGTAAAAATTTCGCGGAAACTCTCTCGCGTTAATAAATCCCAATTACCATACTTCTGCTTGTCGAGCAAAGCTGAAGATCATCTTTCAAAATTATAATCAACTCGTAACGTAAGAGTCCTCGTTATCACGAAAGCAAGAATTATCGTACAATGGTATTATCGTGAAAGCAAGACGAGATGTTACGTACGTATGTCGAAGCAAAGGAAAATTAAAAGTGAAGTGAAAATTTTAAGTTCGAGGGTTTGGAGTTCGGTTAATTCTTTGAACGGCGTTTAACAAAATTCTACGGTTTTTGGGGCAATTTTTGTTTTAAGCACCAATTTGTTCAGCAAATTTTATAAAATATGAAATTAAAAATATTGAGTTCATCTTTCAGTCTTCGAAACGCTATTTTTGTCCTGAAATTCCATGGAAAAGTGAAACTACGTAAGATTCAATCAGTATCGGGTCATTCTCCATCCTCTCAGACGCCATTTCGGTAACGAAATTTCATGAAAAATAAAATTAAAAAGGTTAGGTACCTTTAAGCCCATGTTTCGTTCTCTCAGACATCATTTTGGTTTCCAAATTCTATTGAAAATTAGGTTGAAAATATTCGGACATCTTTTAGTTCATTTTCCATCCTCTGAAACACCGTTTCGGTCCCAAAATTCTATGAAAAGTAAAATTAAAAATATTCTGGCTTCCTTCGGCCCACTCCTCATCCTTCCAAGCGTCATTTTTGTCCCTAAGTTCCAAAAAAATAAAGTTAAAACATTCAGGCATCCTTAAGGTAATTTTCCATCCTTTCAAACCTTTCGTTACCATTTTCCGTCCTCTCAAACGCCATTTCGGTTCCAAAATTCTGTAGAAAATCGAATTAAAAATATTCAGGTATACTTCAGCCCATCTCTCATCTTTTCAAACCTCGTCTCGTCCCTAAATTCCGCAAAAAATAAAATTCCAGAAACTCAAGAATCCTTTTTCTCATTTGCCACTCTTTCAAACGCCATTTCGGTTCCAAAATTCAATAGAAAATCGAATTAAAAATATTCAAACACCCTTCAGTCCCTCTTCGATCCTCGAACGCCGTATCCATCTAAAAATTCGACAAAAAGAGCCAAACCACGCAAATTAATCGAGCTTCAGACTGAGAAGAAGGACCCGGACGGCGATTTCCTCCTCGCCCCAGAGGGCAGCAACGCCAAATACTGCCCGGAGCGTGAATTTCTCTGGTGTCCGGCTCTAGGTCACGGCCGTTTCTGCACGCATACACTTTCAGCGGACTTGGCTGCTGTTCGATGCCTTGGCCCGTGTGCACGAGAGTCCGAACACCTTCGTTTCGTGTCTCCTCCGCTGGTTGGGCACCGATCTTCGTCGCCTCCCCACCTGCTTCACTCTTCCGGTACTTCCTTCGGGCTCGCTATATATATAGGCAGGATCCTTGCTGGATATATATGACAGTGTGTTCCTGACCATCGAAGCGAGCTGATCGGGAAGGGAAAGGAAGGAATTCGAGGACCATGCAGACGAGAATCAGTGTAAGAGCTGAATGGAGATTTTGTGCAGGATTTTTCGGATACGTTTCGGGATTGTGATACGTTGAGTGGGATATGGGACTAGAGGGGTGGTTAGATAGATGATTGAGTGATGGAGTGATTGTGACGTTAGGGTTGTAGAATGGTTGAGTTGCTTGTAGAGTTTGCGGTTTTTGTGGTTTTCGAGATGATTGGGTAATTGGTAGATTATTGATAGAGCAGTGAAGGTAGTGCTTGTAGTACTGAGATAATAATAGCGTAATTGAGGGAGGATGTAGAGTATTGTAATTAGAATTGCAGGTAGATATCTGTAGAATCAAAAGTAATTTGGACCAACTGCACTTTCATCTTCGGCTAATTTTAAGAAACTAGAAGCTAGGTCACAATTTTCAAAATGACAAAAATCTTGATTAATCTTTTTATATAAAAAAAAATAAAGAAACTGAAACTTAATAAAAAAACATTGTGTTTGCAGGTGAGGTGCTTGATCTTCGCGGCGACATTGACCGTCGCGCTAGCCACGTTCGGTAAAGAGCAGTAAGTAAACGTTCCTGCGCAATTATACTCAAGCCGTGAGCGGCATTAAAGTCTCGTTATAGTAAAGACGGTTATAACCTCGATACTCACTCCAACTATCAACTTTCTAGCGTGCATATAAGAATCCATGTACCGGAGATAATCCAGCATGACGAGAAGAAGGTTATAAAATACGAGGATCACGGTGGCCACGATCACGGTGGAGGAGGCGGAGGTCACGGAGGTGGTGGTGACGAAACCATAATAGTCACGTCGCCGGGGGGACACGGAGGAGGTGGATTTGGAGGTGGAGGACACGGAGGAGGTGGATTTGGGGGTGGTGGACACGGAGGAGGTGGATTTGGAGGTGGAGGACACGGAGGAGGTGGATTTGGGGGTGGTGGACACGGAGGAGGTGGATTTGGCGGCGGAGGTCACGGAGGAGGAGGATTTGGAAGCGGAGGTCACGGAGGAGGTCACGGAGGAGGTGACGAGACTATAATACTCACATCCCCTGGAGGTGGTGGTCACGGGGGCGGAGGACACGGAGGCGGATTTGGCGGAGGTCACGGAGGAGGCGGATTCGGAGGCGGAGGACATGGAGGAGGTGGATTTGGCGGCGGAGGTCACGGAGGAGGTCACGGAGGAGGTGACGAGACTATAATACTCACATCGCCTGGAGGTGGTGGTCACGGGGGCGGAGGACACGGAGGCGGATCTGGCGGAGGTCACGGAGGAGGCGGATACGGAGGTGGAGGACACGGAGGAGGTGGATTTGGCGGCGGAGGACACGGAGGAGGCCACGGAGGAGGTGGATTCGGCGGCGGAGGTCACGGAGGAGGTCACGGAGGCGGTGGCGACGAGACGATAATAGTCACATCGTCTGGAGGAGGCCACGGAGGTGGTGGACACGGAGGAGGCGGATTCGGCGGTGGTTTCGGAGGCGGAGGTCACGGAGGTGGCTTCGGAGGTGGTCACGGAGGTGGCTTCGGCGGTGGTGGTCATGATATAGGCGGTGGTCATGGCGGTGGAGGAGGTTTCGGAGGTAAAAATTGAACAGAATTTAACGTAGTAACTTTTCCATCGGTCCATTTTCCACATCGAAGTGGAAGAAAGTCTTTCAGCCGTCTAAACGGTACACAAAAAGGCTTCTTGCGTTTCTTTTGTTAAAGATAATTGTAAAACGTCTTCTCACGTCCTCTTTCTCCAATCGCGATAGCTCGTTGATTTGCAGAGAATGCGTCCCCTGTTTCACCTCGTGCTCCTTACCGCCTGGAACTCGTTTCGTGGGTTTTCACTTCCGGCTCGTTTCGGAGGCGAGAATTTGTCTTGCACTCACGCACACACGCCTCTACCGTCATAAATCCCCGTACACCATATTCATTCATCTTTCTTTCACCGCAACGTGTCGCATCTGAATCGTACGCGAATCTTTCCGCAAGGTTAAAGCATTCACCGTGACCTTGATAAAAATTTCAAACTTTCCTAAAGAATTACAAACCCCGAGCCAACAAATACAAATTTTCTAACAATACTTTCCAGGTGGCCACGAACACATCATAATATCGAGCTCCGGAGGTGGTCACGGCGGTGGATACGGAGGAGGAGGCGGAGGTGGTGGCTTCGAGGAACACCACGGCGGGGGAGGTGGCTTCGGAGGTGGGGGTAGCTTCGAAGAACACCACGGTGGCGGAGGATTTGGAGGTGGAAGTGGTTACGGAGGAGGTGGCGGAGGATTGATCGAGCACCACGGTGGTGGAGGATTCGGCGGAGGTGGTGGTTTCGAGGAACACCACGGTGGCGGTGGTTTTGGAGGAGGTGGAGGATTTGGAGGTGGCCACGGTGGAGGTTATGGAGGTGGGGGTGGTTTCGGCGGTGGAATCGAACATCACGCTATTAGTAACAGCATATCCAGTGGTTTTGGTAGCAGGTAATAATTTTTTCCAAAATTAACGAACATTATGCAACACTATTTAAACCTACAAATCTCCTAATCGCTACTTAATTTCCATTCCAGCGGCCACGGAGGAGGCGGATACAGTTCTGGAGGTGGCTTCGACTCGTACTCGAGTGGTCACAGCGGCGGCGGTGGCGGCGGTCACGGTGGCGGTTTCTCGGGCTACCATAAGAAAAAATAAGGATCGAGGAGGGTACGTCGTGTTTCCGATCGGTCGATTTGTCTGACCGACTTCCGACATCGAGGCGACCGGCGTTTCCTCGTGCCACGTTCTCATCACGCGATCCACGCACCGTCACGTGACTTCTCGATCACGATCCGCCACAGGCACTGCCAGTATACATAACAGAGCGCCGATACAGAACGATCGTTTCGATTTCCCTTGATTTTCGCCACTCGTCGTGACCTTCTTTCACTCGCGCCGCAAGATACCATTTGTCATTTCCACTTTCGTTTTTAGACGCTGCGAGGCTGTTTTCGCGTTAACCGTTGTCACGAAATGAATCAACGGAAATGGAAAGTTTAGAAACTCGATTGGATAGAAGTGTAGTTATGACGTTTCCAACGTCGATTTAGTACATTCGACGGAGGTTCGATCTTTCGCGTAAGGTCTTTAGAGATGAAGAAGTGTTGTTCTTTTTACACTGTTAATCTTGCGAATGTGTCGAGTGGGTTTCTTTTTTGGATATTTTAAGGATAACGGTGAATTAAAATCGATATCGATCGTTCGTACACTCTTGTCGTGCAATTTTCCCCACGACGTTCTACTTACTTAGGTGATTTAATGACTACTCGCGTGCGTATCGCGACGGCGACTCATCTACCTGATTGTTTTACTCGTTGCAGTTATTGTATTTTGTATATATTATACGTTGTGTACATACTCTTCGTTTACTGTTACTTTTAATAAATCGTTTTCTACGACTTTTTTTTAAATACAACGCCTCTTTCGTATACCTTAAAAAAAAACCTGTTTCAATCAATTCAAAATTAAATCCCAAATTTACAAAATACAAATTTTAATCTACTAACCTATTTCATAATTGCCAAAAACTGAAACGAAGAAAGTATTGGTTTTCTATTTTTGGTAGTAAAAAATTAAAAAAAAAATTCCAGATGGGACGAATGTTAATTAGAAATACCGACAAGTAGACTCTATCGGTATAAATATTAATGGACTGTTTTAACGACCGAGTCAGCGTCCTTGCGGCCGGTAATCGGCGCGGTCGTTAGTCATCTAGGAAGCAATTAATCGGGGAAATTGAATGACA